CCTCAGATATCACAATTAAGAAAAATCCAATTTTATGTAGAAGCAAGGAACTAAGAGATGTCTCCTTCGAATAGCTAGAATGAGACATCTCTTAGTTCCTTGCTTCTACATTCACGAATGGCCCATTGATCAGTTTTAGTATGGACACTGGTATAAAATGAAAGTTTTGAAAAGAAAAATGAAACCAAGTGGAACAGATAGTCCGAACAACTTATTTCAAGAAATTGCATATTTAACATAGATTAGACAAATGTAATGGCAAAAGAAAGAAAGAATAATGAAAATCAATTCATGCATAGACTTTTTGCAGAATGAGGAAAAAAGACGGTTCAAGCAAGCATTTCAAATCTTCATCTGCTTAAACATGCGACATTCAAACGCTTTTCTTATTTCAAAACCTGGAAGCAGCTAAAACTCACTAGACTGCGTTGAGATTAATACCACATTCACTGTTTTCATTACCACAGACTTTCAATTAAATTACCTTCTTTTGCATATCGTACCTCTCGGCAACCAAATAAATGTAAACATACATTCGCAAATGGGAGCCTTGTACATTGAAGCTCCTTGTGGCATTGCTTCGAGTTGGTTCCTTATCAACGCTAACAACTCGAAAAATAGTTTGCGCAGCATCCTCAGAATCAAAGTCTAGGTCTAAAACCCTGGAAAAGTCTCGATGAGAGGCAGTGTATTTGCACATGAATATACTTGCGTTTGCAACGAATAATGATAAAAACCATAGAGAAATGTCAAAAGATAATTTGTTAAAAACAAACTCACGCAGAATGTCGAATTTGTTCCAAATCTTCTTGTCTTTCATCACCTGAAGACGAACATTCTCCATCATCAATTTCCATCTGAAAAAAGAACGACCAAATTAGATAGCAATTCACTGTACCACAGGGTTGCAATCGAAAAATGCCCGAATTCGTCGAATTCATTGAAAAACAAAACCCCAAAGAGCATGTTTCAAGGTGGCAGCAGTCCACAAAAACCGGAACGCGACAGTTGGCAGGTGGGTGAGAAATAGGCGTCAAAATCCGGTTCATGCACTTCGTTCTGCGATTGCAGATATTTTGAGCTACCGCTTTTGAAAACGCCCCTACGCGGGAAAATCGCGCGGACGGGACTTTCGCAGCTGGCGTCGCGTCTCCCCCATTCTCATTTTGTGCGCTCAATCCGGTTTTTTGTTTTTTCATTTTGAATTTATTTCAATTTCATATGAAAATTCCAGAGAATGTCAGCTGATGCAGGAAAGAACAATGAAGAACGAATGGATGTGACTGAGGTCGGATAACTTCTGTTTTCGATCTTTTCCAGTGAAATCTCTGATTCACCTATTTCAGGCCAAACAAGAACCAGTTGAAGATGTGAAAATGGAGGATGGAGATCATGCAGAGGATGAAATGGAAGCTGAGGAAGGAGGTAATCTTTTGTAGATAGTGATAGTAATTGTAGATATCTCCGTAATAAGAAATCTATAGTATGTTTTCGCAAGTACTGAAAAGGTTCTTTTCATCTCAGCTCGAGAATCACAGGAATAAATAATTGATTTTTTCCCCATATACTAGTACTCGCCTACCTACCCTTGACCTTTTCTCAACAACAAACTGTTGAGTCTAGTCTGGCCGATGCGATTTTGCAAAGGTCGAGTATGATGTTTGGTGGCGTTGAGGGTAGCAATCGATTCAAGGATTGTTGGAAACTTGTTTTGGTTGCAAGTGCTCAACGTATTCTTTAGTGAAATAGTAGCTAGGAAAAAATGAACCCTTTTATAAAAGGAACAAATACGTTGACTTTGAAATTCATTTGTTGCTTTAATATTTTTTTCCAGAGGATAGCTTGGAATCCAAGTTCGAAG